GCGGAATGTATATCTTACTGATGAATGATGGTTTAGTTTAAAACTTACTGACTTGAAGATTCTAAGACTACTAAGATAATATTTCTCTCTCTCTTTTTATCAGACATCTTCCTACTATCTATACCCTAAAAACAACATTACTAAATATTTCAATTTCTTTTGCACCTTTATAACATTTTTTCATACTAAGTGATTAGCTGTACCTTCTATTATTATAAATGTATTTGCGGTAGGTGTTTACCTAGAAACTTTATACAGTCAGTTATAATTCTAGTTTACTTCGTCTAAACTTGGATAATTGTTTGATTGTTTTGAAATTATCAAGAAATGTAAAAAAAGCAAATGAAGTGAAGTAGTTGGTGTTGAGTTTTAAAATACGTAACAAAGAATAATCCAGTATCATTTCTACCACTCTATTTTTATGAAATATAAACAGATGAAAGGACCTAATTATACTGTTTTCAGGATCAACCACATCCGTAACATGAAAGATACAGTAATTGTCCTCCCTTTACTGCACTCTTTTTATTACTGCCGCACAGCCGTTATTTCGGTAGAAGGTACTAACTACCAGTAACAGACAGCAGCAAATGTCGTTAGGACAGTACTACTGTTGTTATCAATGATTTCTAAGCACTTATTCTTGTAAATTTTTTCTGCAGCAAACGTATAAAGTGGCTGTTGCTGTGACTACTCATATTCGCTAACTAATGTATCTCATCAGAGTAGAAGTTAGGAGGATGAATAACTTTAAATTAGTTGTGTTCTCTGTACTGGTTAATTTAATTGCGAGGCTTTCATCGTCCTTCTCAACAACATCTTCAGCGCAGGTTTTTAGTAAAAACTGGACTCATTTCAATTCTCCATGAATGCAATTGTATCTCTAGGCAACCACTGTCATGACTGATCCGTTGGGTAATAAACCCCGCGTTGAAAATGCTGTCTAGAAGGAAGGCGAAAGCTTAGCAGTTAAATCAACCAGCTCAGAGAACACAACTAGCGTAATATCATCCACCTGAGCTACATATCTTCTCCTTTATTTCAAGGTGACTAGCTTTATATTAACCAATATCGGACTGTGTTCTGTGGAACATATATTTTGTATGATTTCATATATATATTATTTCTAACTTTCTGACTGATGTATTCAAATTTATCATCAGTGTAGTCTATAATTTTGCAATAAAAACAAGCATATAATCTGGAAGCATCTTACTATTAGTTTTCTACCTGTATGAACTGCAGGTGCTAAAACTTCAAAGAAAGCCATCTTCTGAAGTTATCATCTTTTGCATTATAAATCAGCTATGTATGATTTTATAACACTTCAGGTATATTTATAATTTTTTTTAATAATAATGAACCGAATATCCTCATTATTGAGTCATAGGAAAAAGCAAAATGTAAACAGCGAAGAAAATTTTCTTTTTGACGATTCATTTTCAAATACTATACAATCGTATTTATACTTATCAAAGAATTCATAAGACTAATTTGATACTGAAAAATTTGCTTCTGGAAAATGTACGACATAATATGGATGAATTATTAAAGATTAGAAAAGAGGAGCAGAAACTGAAATCACGTAGTAAGTAGTCATTGTAAATGTACAAAGTGGACAAAATCTAGCAGAAAGACTGTAGTGTTAGAGTGAAAACGTAGCGTTACTAATAACAGAATGTAAAATAATAATAAAATTACACAACAAAATGAAACAAAGTTATGGTAAGAATATCACACTAAATATAGTAAAGTGAAGGAATGTATGTAGTGCTTTTGAAGTCTGATTCCAAGTCCTCAATAGCCAGGGATTCAGCTACATACATATTTTTTTATTTTGGTTACAGCTTGATGCCACACCGTATTTTCAGTACAAGTATGGCATTTTCAGCATGGATATCGGTAGCCCAAATTTTGCAGGCCGACCATAGATATCGGGTGTGCGCCGGCAGGGGCTCGAACCTCGGAACATGTGCATGGTCGGCGAGAGTCCTAACTACTGTGCCACCGACGCGTATTCGATGTCTATTCGTGAGATACTGAGGAATTTTTTGTGGCACTGTGAAGCAGTCTGGTGTCCAGAGTTTACAAGGTGATCGAAGATATAACTACATGTATTTTTCTTTTCACTTCTGACCAGCCTGATTGGTCAGTGTTCCACAATACGTTTCCGGAATTTTTTTGTAGGGCTGATATAATTTGCTTTACAAGAACAAGGAAACTGATAAATACACATTGAGATGGCCAGAAGCAGTATGTTATAATTAACTCTTGACTGGATTAACGGTCTGCTGAAGGATGTCATCCGAAAAGTGGCTGTTTGATTCTTAGAAATCAAAATTTCCTTCACTGTTTGAGTTTTCTTCTTACTAATAGCTTGAAATGTACAACAATAATTGAGTGTTGGTTTGTAGGTATTTTACTGATTTACTACAGGATTTCGTCATGAGCTGACATCAGTTAAAGAACCATTGGAAAACCTGGGAGCGATAGACAGCCGTCTCGTCCTAGTTCGAGACTCGTCACAATACACAACCATCGGGGTTTGAACCCAGGACCATCTGGTTACAAGGCGAGCCCGTAGATCACTAAGCCACTGGCATCCGATCCAATGGCCAGCCCATGAATTCTAACTTCTGCCAATTCACAACACAGCGTGATCGCTAGCCAATGTCTTCGGCGAGTATTTGTCCTCACACCTGACCTACTGTACCCTAATGGTCACGAATTCCCACTAGAATCCCGGGCAACTACCTACCTGAATAGGGCCAGTAGCTAGTGAGCATGTGGTATACTGCCAAACACGTTATGCAGATACTGTCACTTATCTCGGAATGAATAAGAATGATTTGCCCAACTTAGGTAAATTTAAGTAAAGTATAAGAAAGTAACTTTTAGTAGTCACTTCATTCGACCAAACTTTTAGATACTTTATTTCAATAGTGACATATCATTTTACCTGGGAATATTTTCTTTTAAAAAATTTTAGTTTTGAAATAGTAGAAAAAATTTCCAGCTCAGATGATTGGTTTTTCATGTGATTGTATTCTCTGAGCTGGAAGAATTTAGTTGTGAAGCTTTCATTGTCTTTCTAAACAACATCTTTCCTAAGATTTTACTGGAAGCTCAGCGAATACAATCGCATCAAAAAGATTATTCTCATTTACTTCCTTCGTAGCTCTAGTGAAACTGATGAAGATGAAACCTTTAACTCCAGTCTCATCTTTTCATGTAATTTAAATATTAGGGAGTTAAACGCTCATAATCATATCACTTTGATCTGACTTTCAAAACTATCGGTCTTCATTATGATTAACTAGGCACCAAAGAAATAAAAATACGTCTCAGGAGGCTGCTGTCGCCGAAAACTGTTACAACGTGCTTCCACCGTGAGCATTTTTACGTTTTCAAATGCACTATTTGGTAAATATCTTGATATTAGTTAAGTCCACCAGCTTGAAAGTATTTTCAGGTAAAAAAAACTGCATATTCAGAGAATGTATATTTATGCCTGTGAAATACCAACACAGTTCAGTTGGTATGATTTCCGTAGAGGTATTCATTCATGCGTCTATGATAAATACTAATTTCCACAGTAAATTTCATTTCAATTATTCCTGACATTAAAAAATGGCTAAACGTAAAAAATTTGTTATCCTTCAGGTAAATACAAATTCAGTAAACATTTATAAATGTTCCATTTACTGGTTATAACTGAACTTCTAAATTACAGCATTAATATATTCCTTAAAAAGTTATTGGTTTCGAATGTTTTGCTTTTTGTTTTTCAGAATGACGTAATCTTTTCATTACTGAATTTATGCCCCGCTTATTAGTATGACCCTTAAGTTCTTACCTTGCGTGTTACACTGCACATCTTAAATCACTAATGAATATTGTAGCAACAGGAAAAGCCTTATTAAAAATTATTATTCAAACCTGGACGATTGGATTTAGTCGCGTAGCTATCAGTTAAAGTATCTCAGCATCAATATAGTTTTTCATATGAATATTTTCACGTTAAACAAAGAGTTGTGATTCTTTAATTCCTTCCTGAAAAGATGTATCAACATTTTTCTTTTCTAAACTAACAAAATTATCATCCGTCTAGAAATTAATTTCCTCTTTTGTGAGAATCATCACTTTTTTCTTCGTGTAACTTATGGATATCAGGGATGTGAGGAGAAGACTATTTAGATTATGAACCTAGTCAAGTGGAAAATCTGAAGTTGCTGATGGACAATCGTAGGGTCAGCTAAATAAGATTACTGAGAACAGGATAAAGTAGAGATGTACTGTTGGAGCCCTGTTCCACTCGGAACCTAAGGGAACAATAATAACACTGATAATAATGGAGACAATCAAATCATTATATATCATATAAAAATAAAACCGCCTTTCGAAGTACAAAACCTGTTTCCAATTTCTTTTGGTGGAGAAATTCGGTTAAACTTAAGCTGAAATTCAACGTTATTCTCATCTTCATCCCGTTATTTAACTGTGGATTGCATGTCTTATTTTGTAGACTTGCGATTATGTAACTTCAGTTGAAGTGACCAACAATATATACTTCCACACTTATAATCCAATGACCAGGGAACGAATAATTGCTGAATTTCGGTTCATCCAAAAATCTAGAAGGATATACTCACGGTCATCTTTTGGTATAGACAAGAACATTCAGTGTGAATTGGGGCTCTGGATGATTTTTAATTTTTTAGGGACTGATAGCGCTCTCCACTGAAATGGCATTAAAAAGCACAGAACTTCATTCAAGCTATTAGTTACGCCATAATTCTTATCTCTTTTCGTCCCTCACTTAAAACTGCTTTTGATTTTCATACTAGAAGTCACTTGAATAGGTTTGTAGATTTTATTTATTAATATATAAATTTATGAACACTATAAACTCGAAATAATATTCAAATATTATACAGCATAAATAAATATTTGTCTAATTGAAATATTTTTGCTACAAATTTACTATCTTGTATAGCTGATTACTCAGATTCCGTTTTAAATAAGAGAATAGATCTTCGACCCAGGAAAAAGTACATTAATCCACCTTCAGTATGACTGACATTGCTAAATAAATTTGAAGTAACAAATGAATGCATCTTATGAAAAGGAAGTGCAATAAATTTTATATATTCATTATTAATTAATTACTGTATTATGGCTAATTAGTGTAATCAGTTTGCAGTGTGAATTATTTATTATAATATTTAATGTAAATGACTACGTCTACTTTTCTCCTGCCAAGAAAAAACCTGATTCTTCCACCTGATCCTGATCGGTGGTGCAATCAAACTGATATCCATCAAACACCAAAATTAATACTGGAAAATATATTTGTTTCACTATAACTGTTGAATCACAGCGATGTTATAATAATAAAATCCTTGTAATTGCTCCATATAGCTGTGATATATTTTCACTTAATATTTACCCAAGTCCCCTAGCTAGATGTTTTGCAGTGATACTTGACCGATCCGTAATGAAAACCACAATCTATTGATGAGAACTTCGTAGATGAAGATGTCAGGTCGGAATCAGTAAAGTAAAACAAGTGTTCATTGGTCCGAATTCAGAACTTTATATGTGGTTTGGAAACGTGGCACATCAGTGAAAGCATTTCAAGCAGACTGAAGATTTCAATCACCGCCAGCCTTCGCACAATACTCAGAACTAGAAGAGTATAACTGATTGAAACCAAGGAACTCCGATGGCCAACCAGTCAAGTTTCTATCACCCACCAAATATACAGGACTAAATAGAGGTAGGCTGGACATACGCTTGACATCACGCGCTTGACCTTCAAGTGAAATTGGAATGAGTTAGGCGTACAGCGGTGACTTGATGAAGATCATTTATAGAAGAAGTGAAGGCTTATGGCAGGCTGTGGAGACAATTAGAAGTGGTAACACAAAAATGAGTACAACATAGATGTACTTCTGGGGCTGTATGTCTCACACAGAACTCAAGGAATGAGTGATATATTAGTACATGTATTTGGAAAACTCCAACCCTTTTATTGTATTTCATTTATTTACTTTTATCGCTAACATTTAGCTCTTACCAAATTGAGATGCTGTCAGATTAGTTATCCAGCTGTGCCTATAAACATTTAGTCCGTTACTGAATATCACCGTAAAAACGGTGCAATCAAACTTTAGTTTGAAACCTTAAACTTCCATCATTCATAGAAGACATCACAGACTTCTATGCTGATCAATAAAGATAACGTGTTTATGCCTAAATGTGTGGACTGAAAGATAGATACCTAAAAAATAAAATCAATCCTAATAAATCAGTAAAATATGCTTCGGTATTCTACATAATAGCAATAATAGTGATACCGAATTCATTTTCAAAGAATATTTTTTAACATTTATAAGCTTACCTTCCATAACTACAACCAACAACACAGTGCCATGTACGTCCATATTTGTTATTGAATTCTCTTTTCAATGCACTAGCTATATCTTTATCATATCTATGCGTTTTCATTGCTTTCAGGCATGTTTTAATTGCGTGTTCTTGCATTTCCTCTGGCATACCAGTACTTTTAACAATGGCTTTTTCTGGTTCCATTTGTGTGCAGCGATAATAATAATAATAATGATAAGTGGATAAATTTCAAAAGTTCAATGTTAACAACTTGTACACAATTTATGCCTTGCCTCACACTTCTCTGGCATGTAAAATTTTATGAGTAATTTGATCTTTGCATGCTATTTTATGCGTACACATATATTATGTAGACTTGTGTATCACGTGAAGATTATTGATTTGTTAAACAAAGGTGTACTTTAATATCACTGTGAATGGTTGGTAAAATGTAAAGCAAGAATCACTGAAAGTGACATATGTCTTCCATTCTGCTGATGAAGTATTTGGCTGAATATTAAAAAAATATGTATTATCAAAGAATAAAAGTCATCAATATTTGTCTTAATAAATAGTTTGCAGCATATTCATATTGTGACATATCTGGCAGCATGTACATCACGTTTCTTCGTCTAATTATTCTCATTTATTCGTTTGTATTTTTTCAAAATCTAACAAAAAGCAGAGATATGCAGAAAAATACTCCTAAAGCTTTTATGATACGTTTTCCGAGAATCAATAGTCTGACGATTTTAATCAATGTATACCTACTAAATTTGATGCTTATAAAGATGTAAGCTACAGGATTTACCTGTCACCACATAATTCAGTGCTGACTGTATAAAAAGCAACATTTCAAAATTTGCACAGCTCACTGTGAGAAAGTAGAAACTTTAGTCAGCCATTCAGTTTGAAATATTATTGTTAAACTTTTGAGTATTTTTTTTGTCAGAGTGCTTTGAAACTTAAAATGAGGCCTGTTCATTTACCTCACAGTGTAACCTACAGCTTCTTTCATTGTATTCAGCATTTTTTCAACCATATTAAATCACTTTCTAGTATAGTTTTATATAAACTGTTTTAATTTAAAGCATTCAAGTGAACAAGCAAAGTGTAATTGCCTCTTAGAAATAAGTAGTTATCTGCACTTCAGAATTGACCCTACCTATAAAGATCAATAATTTAGATGTAAGCATTTAGAAGAATTCTCTATGGTTTGAGCCAGAAAGCTGAAGTAGACATGAATAAAGAATAATTTGTTTGATAGAGTCTTTTCAAACTTTTATAATAAAGAAATCAAAATTATTATTACTATATTAGCAAAGGAAGCTGGCGGTTCGGTGTGAGGAAGACTCAAAATTCATCTATCTGTGTATCCCAAAGATTGCAAGTTTGGTTTTGACAATGAATTGCGGAATAGATTATTTACATTTCATACCAGCTCATGATAAAATCCTCAGTGACCAGTTGGGTGCAGCAGGTTGAAAATGAGGCAATAACTCATCGAAAAACATTGCGAAGTGGTCGTGCCATGGCACGAATTGGCAGAAAATATAGAATTCATGGGCTGGCCACTGGATTGGTATAGGAGCTCACCTTGAAACCACAAGGTCCTGGGTTCGAATCTTGGCCGTGGGCGCATACTACTGAAGAGTCCCAAGCTGGGTTGACGAAACAGCTGTCAGTCCTCCAGGGTTTCCGATGGTTCTCTGACTGATGTCAGCTTATGATGAAATCTTCCAACCAATATGAGCACATTTAAGAACTTGTAATTCAATACTTTTACAGTTAAATTTACTGATTTTTCTTATGGCATTGATCACCGTAACACTATGGATCACTGTGTTCAGGTTAGTATAAAGTTCATAGAGTTAACTTACCTCAAAATGGAGATGAAAACTGAAATGGTAGAGAAGATTTGTGGCTCAGATGGATGATTTGAGCATTACTGCACTCACAAAGCTAAATAATTTTAGTTGGTAAGCTTTAGTTTTCTTTCTAGATGACATTAAATTTGCTATAAAAATAGCATCTAAAAGAATAATTAAAAAATCTTCAACTAAACCATCCATCTCCAAGAATCTGGCAACACCAAGAAAGTGACTATTATTCACTTTCCATTACAAGATTCGATATTCGATAATGGATTTAGTTCATGTGATACAATTGAGTAAATACTGCTTTCATCACCAATAATCTAAGCAGCATTGTTCCAACTACAGGCGGCACGGATGAAGGTGGCGAATACAGAATTGAAAAGATAAGATAGACCTTTGTTAATCTGAAGTCACTCTGTAAATCCACAGCACTCAGCGTAAGGAATAAGATTTGCACTTTCAAAACTAATATTAAGTCAGTTCTTCTGTATGGTTTAGAGCCTTAGTTTGACATCCAGAGCATTCTCAACAGGCTTAGGACTTTTATTATCACCTGACTTCTCTCGATACTGAAGATAAGATGGCCGGCCAAAAAGGATTAGCACCAAGGAATTCTGCCAGGCAACAAACCAACCAAGAACCCAAAACCATAGAAATACTCAGAAGAAAATGCGGAAGGACTGGAAAAACTCTGAGGAGACCGTTAATTGACATCATACACCAAGCCTTAGAGTCGAACCTGATTTGGAAACGATGAGTAGAAAGTGTCTCCGAGGATGACATGGAATAGACTGTGTGAAGAGATGATAAGAGCTTATGGACAGTTGTGCAGCCGTCTAAATAAAAGAATGAAGAGAATACGATAAAGTGGAGATGTTTTATTGAAGGCGTATTTTACTGCAAAACCCAAACTTTTTTTAACTTAATTCTCTCATGCTTCAACCCTGAGTTAATCACATATCAGCTTGATTTCAATGAAGCAAAGTTATGCATAGATGATGTATATGTCCTGATTTGTCAATAGTATTCATTCCAAGCACGTAATATGAAGAATAGTCGATCAAAAGTATTCATTTTGTTTAGCATCATTATTTTCTCTTAGCATTCAAAAGTTTATAAATAGCAGTATCTTCTAAACGTTAGTTGTTTTTTCGATTGTATGAAATATTAGAAGTATTCATAAATTGAAACAGAAATAATAGACATTTATTTATTTGTTTAGCTTAATCAGTACTTTCTTTAACTGAATACAAGGGTAAAAAATTATTTAGATGAAAGAAGAAAGTGAGTCTTAACTGTGAGAAATAACGAGGCTGTAGACATTTCAATCAACATACTTATATGAGTGACAGATAAATGCTCTCGTTTTAAATTGATTAGGTATTTACTCAGTCGCATTTCTACAAACTTTTGAGGCGTTTTTCAGTAACTGACGGATAAAAGACCATCAAAATCCAAAGAATGCTGGCTTGTTTGCTTGATTTCAGGTCTGTTTTTGTGTAGATATGACCTGAATTCATCAGACTGAAAGACAATGAGAACATTATAGCGAAATAACAAGGCATAAGAAATGTTACGTAATTTGGAGAAAGTTTCCGGTTGTAACTGTACCAATAAACTAGATCATAACACTGTTAATATAGAGAATAAAATATTTATCAAAAAGGTAAGGGAAGAGAAAAAGGAACTGAAAGACGAACCCGTGCTATGAATATTCGCTCTCGACATAGATATGATGATATTAATAGATTCCCTAGAATTTTTAAATTTTAATTAGCGTATGTACTGATTTCCTATGTGAGTCAAATAGAATTATTCAAAATATGTATCCCATTGATTTATCTCAGGGTTTCAGATCACAGTGATACGAAGAATTTTCCACATCACCAGCTTTTAAGAGGAATTTTGAGACAATAAAGGCCTGTTCGGATAAAATTATCTTTTCTTTTGTTTCTATTACCCACTTTACTTGACTGATATGGAAATATGAGCATATAAATTTTAGTCAAATCAGAGTTCCTCTCAGGTATTTGTTCAAAAATTAAGAGTTTAAGTGGCATAGGGATATTAGAGTGATTTCAGCAGGAGGAGATTTTAATTTCTTCTGGTGTCTGAATACCATGAACGTTTGGACAGCATCTCGTAATAAAAATAAATGTTAGTTTGAATACAGCAAGAACAACAGTTTTGCAGGATAATATGGTATACATTCAGAAAATCAGAGGTGTGCCCTTCTTTCTGTTCTCTCAATGTAACTGGTCCCGCAGATACATTTATATTTGTATACAAAGTTGGAGTTAATATGAGAAGGGTATCTGTCGACTTATGACCGCACCGATAGACAAGGACTAACTTAGCTTCAGGATAGGCTCTGCCTATTGACATCCTCAATCTTTTGTTGACAATTACTGTAATATTTTCACGTTGAAAATCGAGCTGAATGAAGACAGGTTTTTCTTCCACCGTGATTTGTTTGATGTTTGAGCCTCCACATCTTCCACATTTGTTAATGAAGCTCTGAGGGTAACTGCTGTTCTTCAAAATCTTTTCGAGAATCATGTACCGAAAAATGCTTACAGTTGTACCATTAACAGTGGTCTACTTGATACGAGTCAAGAAGGAAAAATCTCAAAGTCCTTTAAAATTATAAGTAGACAAAACAGCTCAATTGTCCTTAAGTTTGCAGAAGTGATATCTATCAAACGCCTGAAACGCAGTTTCTGTTCTGAAGGAAGCAGTTATCAGTCTTTCCTTGCCACCCTTGTAATTGGATGTCTTTATTCTCTCTTTCATTTGACAACGTAATTTTTGGCTTCAACTTCACCCACCTTCAATATAGTGTGATTTCGCTTGTCTCTTGTTTCTGTGATTTGAGTTGAACCCAGTATATTGTTATCTAGTTTATTAGTTACTCATCATCGAATGCATCTCTCGTCTTTATTGCGTAAATCTTTTGCCCAATGTATGCATACATTTGCTTCTCTTAAACTTGAACTGTCTGTGTAAAAACTATATAAGCGTAATTTTCTGAGCACTGTTCACTAATTCCAGAACCTACTGTTAACTGATATCATGTAAAATTTGCAAGTATGCTAAAACTTTTCTGTACATGAACTCAATAATAATTTATTTAGGCTGTAAGCAACTGATGAGAAGCCAACGAAATAAATGATGGCACCATATTATTCTGCAAAAACTGTTGTTGTCGCTCTATTCAAATTCATAAAAGGGAAAAAATGTATGAAATAACGACTAGCTTTATTCCCAAATAACACTTATGATGGCGTGGAATTCCCAGCATTTCGTATGATATTTCATCTAATTCACTCAACAACAGCAAAATCAATATATATATTACACCGTATAGATAACTGGAATTGGTAATAACCACTTTTTAGCATTAGCAGTGATAATGATGTTAAAAATGTACAAAAGATGTAAAATGACAGTAATAGTGTTAATAACTAAAATTATAGGATAATTGAAATGGTGTCACCACAAATTATAGATAGGAGAAGAATAAGGAGCCGTTCTTTTGCTAATTACATAGTAGGTTGTAAGCTTCACACTTAACACTATCTCTATCAAACAGAACACTGGCCGAATAGAGTATCGTTGAGTTTTTGTACTTGTCTGTGAGAGGATATAATCTTCTTTAATGACTTCAAGTCCTACCAGATGAGGTGCAGTGGGAGAGTGGTGAATAGAGAGGGTGTCGAGAGTATGATAATATGGATTTGTATTATTTCACACATGAACTCAAGTGTCTGTTGACTACAATAGTAAAGAGCTGGCTGAGTTAGTGGCATGCCTCGTGTTCTACTGACAACCTTGAATAACCTCTCCTCAATATGACCTAGTTCTTATTGAGTAGTCCAGGAAAGATTAGGGTAAGGGCTGCAATGTGGAACAATAGGCAAAACGCAAAAGTTAAAAAATTGTAAAAGTAGAGGTTGAGAGATTCTTGATTATCCCTACTCCTCATCGAAGAAGGTTGGACGGAGTGATTTCTTAGACATTGATAAGATGTGGGATGGTAAAAAAAGATCAGAGGATCGATCTATTACAATTTATTTTTTGCTTGACTTAGTTTTTGTTTCAGTGCCATCTATGCAACAAATGTCTAATGAACAAACAAGTTCGTGTAAATCAAATTTATGCCGGAAGGTGAAGTCAACTGTCTGACATTGGGAGGAACCTAAGGTAGAACAAATAAGCTTAGACCAGTAGCTAATGTCCGAAAGAAATTTATTCAGTTTGGAACACTCAACTCGCGAAGTAATTAGCAGCGAGACAGTCAGGTTGTCGGCTTTTTTAACAGAGTTTATTTCCTTCCAAACAAGGCATTTTATGTAAAAAAAAAAAGAAAAGGGGAGGAGAGAGAAGAGCACTTGGAGGGGCATCGGCTTAAGTAAGCAAAGAAGAATAAAACTTATATTTACATGCAGTACATTGCTTTCCATTAAAGAAATAAAAGTGCAACGAGTTGACAGTCAAGGAACCAGTTGGTGTCAAAAAAAGTTTATTTATCAAAAGATTTCTGGTGACAGAATGTATAGGGAAGGAAAGAACCTTGAATGTATTTACCCTCCTTGTCTAAATAGAAATCTATATTATGATATAAAACAGCAGCATCATCTAAACTACTTCTGTTCTGTTTATATACAAACGGTTCAGTGCCATCAAAACTTTTCAAGGAAGGTTCATGGTTGAATAAAAGTAATTTTTCCATTTATTTAAAAAAAGTAGAAGTAATTGCAATAGGTCTGAGTTTAACATTCATACCAATACATTATTTTGGTACCGCAATTTTTTTAATTTTTTTGTATGCAACGATTACAACACTACTGGAAAAAAGCACTAAAAATGTTCGTAAGAGGATGATAAAAAATATCAGCTCCCCTTTTGAGGAAAACAGCTAGTACACCATCGGGACAAAGGCTAGGGGAAGGTTTTAGCGATTTCACGCATTTAATTAAATCAAGATCATTAAAACCATGAAAGTTAAAAAACTTATGATTTGTAAAAACGTTCGCAGGAAAGGGTATGAAAAATTGATTCAGAGTATCTACATCAAACGAGGGAATATTATTACCTTGTTTACCACTTCCAAAGAAATCATTGGAAAGTTCCCATATGCTTGAGGAGGTTCCACAAGTTAAAAGCTTTTGGTTAATAATAGTGTTCAGACTTTGGATTTCAGATTTTACTAGAGTATTGATCCCTTTGAGGTCAAATCTATTTTTAGACAAAGATAGCCGTTATTTTTTCTTTGCTTAGCTTTTTGAGATAAGGAGAGGAGAAACAGCCAAATCTTTTGAATAGTGTTTGTTTTGAGCAACAGATGTCGAGGCAGAATTTAAGATAGTCAGTTGTGTTAGTGAATGTGTCATCCAGTGTACGCTCAGTAAATAGATCCCAGTCAGTATCCTTCAACATGCATCTGAGATTATGCATTTTAATCTGTGAGTACAATCTCTGCTTCGTTTTCTTGAAAGGGTACTGGGAAGATACTTATGTATGACTTGAGTGTGTTTCCTTCCACAAACATACTAAAGTCATACAGAAAAGCGATTGTCTACTCACATCATGGGGCATTTGCCAAAGTGGTTGAAAACAGCTGAATTCAAAGTGCCGGAAAGGTCAATAACAACGCATCTTGTGAACTATGAACATGATATCGACGCTGTCAAGTCATTCACTGTTGTTAGAAGACAAAGAAACAGGAAGATGCTTGCAGTTGCAGAGGCTTGTACATTTCGAGTTTATAAACCAGGTTCCTGTGTACAAAAGGAGATGGTTGTCACCCTGAATCTACCATGGTAATACGTTTTACTTATTAAGTGTTATTATTAATATTAATAGCACTTTATTCTACCTCTTATTATTGTTGATTCATTAAAAACTTTTATCAGTGGCATTCTCTTAACTCACTTCAGCATTATTATTATAACTATTACGACTTATATTACTCACTTCACAATTCTTGATACATTCTCTAATGACTAATTGTTTATCTAAGTGATGTAATTGAAACGTAATGCATTTCATCTTAATTTTGTTCTCTCCTACTCACTTCCGCTTATCTATTTGAACATGACCTGGCAAACATTCGCACGTGTCGTTCTGCATGGTTAATTCAGTTTAGCTTATTTGTTTATTAATCTTATATATCCCAATATATTCCTAAAAGTATATATATCACTGTATGTAAAGTATTCAGATGAAGAGTTCTACCGAGACTAAATGAATTCATTAAATCCTACTATTTATTTGTGCACACGAAGACAAATTGAAGGCATACTTCAAATAAAGTCATATGTGATTTCTTTGAAGATCTGAAATACACCTTTCCGATTATTTCTAACTCACACAGAATATGGATTTCCAATGTGTGTTACCTGAGCTATATATAAAGTAGTTTTTGTAAAAATTGTTTCGTTTATAATGAACAGTGAATTAGTTTTATTGGAAAACAGGGTAGCAACTAATCTCTTGCGTCTAGTAGTTGATGTTGGTGCAGAAAGAAATCTAGCACTCTGGTTCGCAGTGTGGCCACTACGCTGGGTGACTTGCCATCACAGTGCACGCTGAATTGATATCAGATGGTTGAAGCTAATTGGTAGGAATCCTTGCACCTAGGTTTTGTGCGTGATGGTGCTCATCAGCAAGGTATATCTGCAATCCTTAGGGAATTCATATGCCTTCTGATATTCGAACGCATATCGTCAGGTGCTTCAGTAAGGAACGATACCACTAAGCTATTCAGCCTCATGATTGGGAGGCATAGTACTTACATTGCAGTCTTGACTGACAGAATTCAGTCTGCATGAGACAAAATTCTAGACAAATCAAATCAGTTACTAGCCACTGTCGAATAAATGTATTCATTACAGTCCTACAGGAGGCTAATCGCCTCATTGTTAATGTCTCTCATTTTAGCACTGGATGACCCAGATTCGAATCTCTGAAGGGACATAAGTTCCCTCAAGATTGTAGATAAGGCTTGCTGACGAGTTCCATCAAGCAGGAAATCTAGATCCAATTATTGCTGATGATTGCCTCCAATCATGTAATACTAAACGATGAATTATTTCTTAATCTTATCAATTGACTCTATTTACATAGTTTCATTGTGTTTTTTTCTGTTTTTTTTGCCTACCTTTATGTGATTTCATAAAGTGATAACCCTTCAACCTCTGCACTTTAATGAGAAACTGACGATGAAACTTTAGTTTAGTTAAGTTCTGTGTGAAAGAAAAGGAACTTTCATTTAGGCTCATTTACAAACAATCTACTTTTTTATGCTTGAAATACGTATGAATTTGTTGTTGACTAAGATTATTTTCATTCAAGCAGAATTGTACCCCTACGATCTGGTTTCACATATTTACTAGCCATCAGAAAAGCTTGGAAAGATGTTATTGCTTTGCAGTTTGAAATTTCATACGATTGGTTTCCTAACAGTTAACCTATCGAGAGTTGTCAGAATCTCTTAGGTGTTCATAGTTAATTCAAATGAGACACACCAATATGTTAAACAGTTATCTCCACTATAGTTTGTATTGAACAGACTACACTGCAATAAAACTTTGACTCATCATTAATAACGACACAATTACTCAACAATTCATTGATATGAACATTTTTGTGTAACGTTGTAAACTCTTGTATTTTGCATAATTCAATTTCATTTATGTACATGTAGCTTTAGTTGTCTGTTGTTGCACATAATGAAGTGGCATTGTTATTATAGTGGTTCACATGTTAATTCCATGAAACTAACCAATCTTTAATGAGTTTACTGGTTACACTGGTTATACACAGGCAAACAAGAGTAAGAAATGAAACCTTACTGTTCACATGTTTGAAGTTATTTTACTAAAATAGACCTTGTTATCTTTAGGGTCATTTTCAACGGAGACACTATTTAACTCGTTGTTCATCACATTAAGAAAGTTAAATAGCCTAAAGCAATCCTTTCATAATAAATTTCTAAACGGAACAAGCGCATGGATTGTAAAAAGGCGGTGGTTAAAAATGCTGATATGCCAGATGAAATGCAACAGTATGCTGTAGATACAGCTGCGCAAGCAATGCATGAATTCAATATTGAAAAAGATATTGCAAGTAGTGTAAAGAAGGAATTTGACAAAAAATATGGTCCAACATGGCATTGTATTGTGGGACGAAATTTTGGAAGGTAAGCATAACAAATACATATTTTTTTTTGAAAATTATTCTACTCTTTAAGATTCAAAAACAAGTGTAATCAGCCTTTGTTTTGTTATGAGGGGTTATCATACTGAGATTACAGACGATAACAAGATGTAACAATGAGAGCCTCTTCAAATCTGCAGCATAACTCGGAATACTAGCAGATCTTCATTAGTAAATTTTCTAGCATAATGATCGTGTTTTACAACAAGTTCATACTTCTACAACCCATTTCAAGAATTCGAAGCTATTGTATTACATTTATGTGCATTACAAAAGCAAATGAATTAAATAACAGTGTAATATTTTGTTTACTAAGTAGTGTGGCGATTTATCAGTCTATAAAAAGTTTAGACAGCCTACGTTGCGTAACTACTCTGACTACTTTGCATGACTTAAGGCAAAGGTAATAATAGATGTGTAGAACTATCACCTAATGTTTACCAATATGAAATCGTGTGGAAATGAAATATGTTTTATCAAACAAAGCTCTGTAGGAATAAGGCGGCCACATTAATAATTCATAGTTCAAATAAAATGAGACGACATGTTGGTCTCTTTGCCTTTGTTTGCATTTCGTTTAATTAAACATTGCTAATCAGTAGTTAATCAGTTGTTTCCTTTTGAGTTCTGAGTGATACAATACGAGTTTAGCTCATTTTTCTCAAAAACTAAAGTATAATGACATAATAAACCAACTGTTCGTAAATAGTGTCTATTTACATTATTATATTAATTTTCCTTTCCCCATTTCAGCTATGTAACACATGAAACGAACCACTTCATTTATTTCTACCTTCAAAATGTTGCCATATTACTGTTTAAATCTGGATAAACCTTGATCAATGAAGGATAATGAATACACTTTTCGTTGATTGAAGATAGTAAAAAACCCGATTTTGTTTCAGTCCTTTTGTACATAGTTTGTTTTGCGAATAAATGAATAATAGATTTTCGTGTAGTCTTTTCCTTCAGAAACTGTTTCATTGAGGCAAAAGAAAGGAAATATTGCGTTATCGACAGGAAAGACTGTTAAAAAAGCTGTATTCTGCTTTCAAAAACCAGTTACCGTCATTGAATTATAATCACTTGTCTTTCAAATCAAAAATATATAAACTTTTTCATTTCTTTGCCCTTCAAACATAGGGAAATAGGGTTTCAAGCTTGAGTTTTGAGGTTTCAATAGTCCGTCCTTCCTTCTTTACTAGGCTTACTGATGGCTAAAAGAAGTGTTGGAATTCATCCGTCAGGAATTGCGTCCTGGACCACGTGCGTTGTTGCCGGGCAGTCTACCACAGAGTAACCTACGCACGACTGCTCAAAAGATTTCGCTAGCTGTAAAATAAAAGTAATAATTTGCAGTCAATGAATGTACTACTTATTTTCTCTAACTACTTTATTTTCAAACATGGATAAGACTTGTAAGCCAAATATTATGTATATTAAGCTGCTTTCATTTACCCGCCAACCAGTTTCTGTTTGTCTTCACCTTTTCAACAGAAAACTTGAAGCTTAGTTCATATATTCTGAAATGAAGTAAATCTAAATTGCTAACTGAAATAAGACGAGAAGCATCTAAATACGGTTTCTATCATGGCAATTACAGCTGCATTTTTAAAAGAAATAAATGAGTATTAGCATGTTAAAATAGGAAAATGACGTCTCTGAGTGCTTCAGATGAACAATAACTTATTAGAATAACAAAAGATACACGGAATATTAAGCATATTTGTCTGCTTGAATCACTTAAATCAGACACAGTGCTTTCAACCTACAGTTGCACATTTCTGGGGGACCAAAGAAAAATGGCATGAAGGGTTATTTTATTCTTCGGATCAACCAGTACTGCATTACACGATGAACTGGAGATGACTGTTTTATTTGAAAATATTGGATGAAGAGAGAATGGTATGTTGTAAACCACGCTACAAATTGTGTCTACTGTGTAAACTTATTGTGCAGAATAAAGCTTCGGTTTGAAATGAAAAGTTATTTAACTCAGGAGTGGTAAAACTGGATGACTATGGCTTATTCTTTATGACCTGGCACTTAGTGTTCAGTCAATCCATTGGCACTGAACATCAAACAACCATCACCAATATCGGTTTTTTAAAAAACAACTTTAATCACAAAAGTCATACCTCCAGTTGCCTTATTTTTGTCTTTTTAAGCTGTAACGTATTTCAATCTAGTTTCAGTTAGCGATTATCGTTCAAAGTATAGAAATGACTACTGATTACAAGCTACTTAATAGTCTTTTAATGATTATAATAATCTGTGACAAAGGTTAAAGTGGCTGTAAGTTCATTTCATGAGATGTACTTTGGAGTACAACAAAGTGTAATGCAGGATAGATTCAACTATGAGTATAACAATAAACACATTTGATTTCTTTCCAACTAGCATACTGATAATAACAACAGATAGAGAAAAATTATATTTCAAAGATTCGGCGTGAAATTTGAAAATTATTGCATTTATGAATAATTCGAAATGACTGCCGTCAGAATTTAGACAAAACATATAGAGCATTATTTTTTAAAGTATTTAAACTAATTCTGATAATTGAAGGCAACATTACAGTGATTTGCTCCATATTGTTTCAGTAGTAATGCAGACTCAAAGACAAAAAACACATAATTCTGTTTCAAGTAAAGTCAAAGACTAGAGTTGCCCTGACCAGAACTTCAAGTTTTTGTAACACTGAAGGGTATGTATGCATGCATATATCGGTCCAGTAGAAAAGAATAAGAAATGACATTTGTCACCATAACCTTAAAACAAAAATTCAAATGATCGCTATTTTCAAAATGAGTGTACCACACTGAAATGACCAGTTCTCGTATAGTCACCCTGTTTGATACTTGCATGGGTGAAAGGCTTGAAATATTGGGTGCCATCAGCTTTAAAGCCTAATGTTTAGATTGGAACGCAAGGAATTAATTATAAATGAATATAATAGAGAAGATTTGTAGCTCAGGTGAATGATCTGCAATTAGTTGTGTTCTCTGAGCTGGCTGGTTTAACTGCAGAGCTTTTGTCGTCCTTCTAGACAACATTTTCAGCGCAAGTTTTAGTATAAAATGAACTGATTTAAATTCTCCATGAATGGTAGAATTGTATCTTCTGACGATGATCTTCGTAACTGGTGGTCGATTTACATCTGTACTGATCATTTTTTTATTGTCTAGGATTTTGAACTTTCTCGTCATGTGATTTACTTTTTATTAGCTGGCGAATTTGGTCTATATTAATATGTTTGTTAATCACTGATTCGCTTGAGTACCTGGCTTCTAGGAATTCCCTGGCACTTTTGGTGTTTCATCTGTTTAAAATTTCGATATTATCCTAATTCAATTGTATAAACATAAAAGAAGTTAAATGAAAACCTAGAAATTCAAATTCTAAAATGACTTCAAAAACTCATCAATCACCTAGGTAAAATACTGGAATTGTATGCTTTCTTATTTAACATATATCGGAATGCACACAGAGGGGGATTTCTAGCTTCCTAGAATTGCATACTATTTACAACAGTGTACTTTGCTTACATATTTCATAGAAAATACATATAAGACCATAGGGAAAATTAAAACTACATTTGCAGTGACGAAAGCACCAACTAGTGCATACATTCGTGTATACTTGGTAAATGGATGAGAAAGTTCAAGCACAATATCCAGTCAAGGGTCAAGATTACAAATAGAAATTAAAATGTTTTAATAACAAAATTCAAACTGAAGATAGAACAGAAAAGCATTGTAGGACCATAATTATTGAGGCGATTGACTTTTGGTGCAATTAGTTATCAAAAGTGTAGTAACAGTAAAATATACAAGAAGTTTGAATGAAAACATAGTAGTACAAATAGGTATTAAGAAACATGAAAATAACAGAAACAGATAGGAAGTTTGAATGATTACATTTCATAATAAGACCATTATTACTGAGAGAAATGATTTATGATGACCATATCAGGGACAGTGGTTGGTCCTACTGATTTTGAATACATAGCGTGAGTTTGAACTTTTCGATCTCTAGTGCCTCAGCTATTCTAGATGGCTTGATCTCACTCCCTATAAGCAGCTTGACCAGATCTTACATAGAACTTTGAAGCCTTTTCCAAATGGAGATGAATGTCCTGAGTTCACCAGATGTTTTGTTACCGAGTTACATACACACTCAAGTTATCATTATTTGTTAGCTAGGTTGGATAATTTTTCCAGCAGCGTTTCACAAGCGGACACATGGTACGGCCAACTTACTCACCTCCACACGGGCTGGTGAACTGGTATGTGCATGACGAAGTGGCTGTAATGCGACAGCTGGTCTTTTAATTGCTGAGTGAATAGTTTTTGGGAGCAAAATGTTAATCGTAGGCCGGTGGTGAAGTAATTGCAAAATACAAATGATATCTTTTGCATCACTATTTGGAATTATTGCTAAAACCTTTTGATAGCACTTTTGTAGAACTACTTTCTTTTAACATTGTATTCGCAGATGGATGCCGTTCATCTATGTCAGTGTTCCTGACACACATACACACACCAGTTAGACACATTTAGTTGTCAGAACAAAAACGGACAGTTGTACATCTTTAAAAATGATATTATAGGAAAGAAAGTATTTTAAATATTAAGTTGCTGTCATTATGAAATCTCACACGTCACTTCAGTCATTACTGATGTAAATATATTAGCTCTTTTATTTTATTCCTTTACTTTCCCAGTGGAAAATAGGGCTTCAAGCTAGAGGCTTGAAGTTTTGGTAGCAGTGGTATTTATTTTTACGGGATGGGGTTACTAGCGTCATGTTCAGCCTTCACTCTTTACCAGTCTAATTACTGGCTTAGAGAGGTAAAAGAGTGAGTCGGCCGAGGACCGAACCCCGAACCACCTGCATGGCTGGTGCGCATTCTATCGCTGTGCCAGCGACGCACTACGAAATGAATCAGCAGTTTGCATAGTATGCTTTTCTGGATACAGAAGAGAGCGCCGCACTACACCGTATTGCAGCTGACTAGTGGCTATTACATGGTCTTCTAAGAAGAGTGTTACAAAATAATAAATATTTTACTACATTAGACCAACCTGCGATTTACTTCACAAAGCTTGCCACCTTGAAATCGAATTTATTGAATACTATGGTCAGCAATAATCTTAAACTTCTTTATTCTTCCGAAATGGCGTACAACATTTGTTAGAGCCAACTGATCTGCTTCCAGCATGTATTTAAGCATAGTTTCTCTTTAATTGTACCTAGTTTTATATTTTAGGCGAAAACTATCTGGGAAAATTGACCACTTGTAAGTTCCTGAAAGGTAATTATCCAGTATTGCGGGCTGAACATCAGCGTTTACCACTGTTGACTCATGATTTTCACTCCGTAATTATGTGATGGACTGATTCTGTTTTAGAAGGACAATCATCAAAATAATTTGAATATACCATAGTGTTTAATAGCGGCGATTGTGATATTCATTAGACTATGGACAGAGTCGTGAAACTATTCGTTTCAAAATACCTAGGGATTTTGTGTGAAAAAGTAAGCATCCGATACAAATGTTTATTCATCCACTGTGTCCTACTATTATTATTATTGTTCCCTTCGGTTCCAAGTGGAACAGAGGGCTTCAACAACACATCTCCACTCTCTTCTATTTTCTGCTATCCTCTTCAGCTGGGTCCATGATTGTCCATGATCTCTCATTTCCTTCTCCAACTCACACAATCTCCTCCATGTCACCCTTGCACTGACAACCCACTTGTCGCTTCCCACTGGGATTCCACTTGAGCAATGGCCTGGCCCACGATGTCATTCGATGGCCTCCTCAAC